AAAAAAACATTTTCCCTGAGAGGGCCCAAAAAAACATTTTCCCTGAGAGGGCCCAAAAAAACATTTTCCCTGAGAGGGCCAAAAAAAACATTTTCCCTGAGAGGGCCAAAAAAACTTTTTCTCTAAGAGGGCCAAAAAAATAACATTTTCCCTGAGAGGGCCAAAATTAAAATCAATCTGAGGGCCGTGGGCCAAATACAGTAATATAATACATAAATGTAAATACTTCTTAATTAAAATTGTTTTATTGTTATGAATAAGCATATGAATATGAATTCTTTTTTTTTTCAGCACATGGACAAGGAGAAAATTGAACATATACTCAGGAAGCAAAGGCTCATGGGACTTTTCATAAATTAAAATTTGAGTGTATGTGGTCTTATAAKGTGTACAAATCTAGATGTGTGCTTAAATCTAATCTAAATGTGTCTTGTAGTTATTWGTATTTTATTAGCCTGGYCCTYRCCTTCCTACAGCTCCGCTCAGTTCTAGTTTCCTTCTCTGCTCCGTCTGGGACTTCTTTGATAGACAAGGATTTCTTCAGGAGGATTTTACCTGGACCAATCAACAGACAGGAGGAGTTTTGAATGAYGYYGATGTTCTGCWCAGTGTCTGCTAGTTATTTTAGCATACAGCAGTGGAGGAAGTGAATGAAGCCAGTCTGTGTTGATAAGGCTTCAAATTAAAATAAATTTATCTGACAAAGCAGCAGCTCTCATTTACAGTCGTCTCGTTCAGCTCCGTATTTCTCTCAGAAGAGTTGTTTACGGTGCACGCAATTTCCAGTTAGCCTCTTAGCTTAGCCTCCGTCACAGTGGAGCTGTTGCACTGCAAACGTCACAACCAACTGTTAGCAACTGGGTAAATCAGATCCAATCGTTTAGTACTTCAACAGAGAACCACGCTTCCAGCAAGAAATCACTTCTCAGTAGCCGAGAGTCCAGACCCTCTGTACGAAGCAAAGCAAAGAACGAGGGGCTGGTTTTTAACAGGCTAGTGTTTTATGTTTAATCTTAACTAGGGCTGTGAAATTAATCAAGTTAACTCTGATTAATTTTACTGCTGCATGGACATGATTAAAAA